TAACTAAAATGTATTGAGGGTCTACTAGGTGCCAGGTACTAGGATAGATACTTAGAAGTATGTTATTTTCATTAAAGGTATTCTCACAGCACTAGGATCTTTTTTTTTTTTTAATGATCATTAATCCCATTGCCCACATAAACTTTACTGACTTTTTTTGGTTGTGGGGGGGCAGATTACTGGAAATTGAACTCAAGGGCACTTTACCACTGAGCCACACTCCCAGCCCTTCTTGTCTTTTTTGTTTTGTTTTTTGTTTTGTTTTTTTAAGACAGAGAGAATATCGTTGTTGTTGTTGTTGTTTTTAGATGGACACAACACAATGTCTTTTATTTTTATGTGGTACTGAAAATCGAACCCGGGTCCTGCCCATGCTAGGCAAGCGCTCTACTGCTGAGCCACAATCCCCTTTCTTGTTTTTTTATCTTTTATTTTTAAGGCAGGATCTAGCTAAGTTACCCAGGTTGGCCTCAAATATGATCCTTCTGCCTCAGCTTCCTAGGAGCTGAAATCACAGGTGTGCACTGCCGCACCTGGCTAGATTATTGAATGAAGCAATGAATTAATGAGACCAGACCTAATAGTGCTGCAGAGTCTAAGAGGTAATGGCCCTTGTGACTTTCTTATAGAACTTAATACTATTAACAGATACTTAAGAGATATTTATAAAAGAAGGTACAGATTTTCAATTATAAATATTAAATCGTCAGTTAATCCTACTCTCCCTAGTCACGAGAGCAGTCTTTCAGTTAGGGGTCAGACAGCGCTGCCCCTTAGGCCTACTTCTGTGTCAGAATCACTGAAGGGCCATACTATGTCCCTCCTAAAGGCATAGGACTCTGCAAACCAAATGGTGAAACCCAAATATGGTTAAAGAACAGCTGATGGAGTTTCACATCAGCAATTTGTTTTTTCTTCTGAAAGCCAAGCTGGGGCATGCAACAGGCCACTGGAGTTTTGTGAGGGCGGGAGGGGGAATGAGATCGGATCTGCACTATAGATCACTCTCATAGCAGAATATTGGACGGACGATAGCAGTTCTCAGCCTAGAAGAATCAAGGTGAAATCTTAACACTTTCCCAGTTGAATAGAATAGATATTTGTATATGTCTCATCTTTCCCATCTGAGTTCCTTCTAAGGGCAGAAAGTTTATTGTGTTCTTCTGCAGAACCACAAAGTAGGAGTACATTAAAAAGTGGAGGAAGGACTAAAAACAACCCAAGTGCCCATCAACAGGTAAATGAATTAACAATTATTGCCTAGCTATACAATAGAATATTACCCACCCCCACTCCCCAAAAAAAGGGCTAATAGGTGCAAAAATATGAATGAATCTCAAAATAATTATGTTATATTAAAGAAGCCAGTTAAAAGAATACATACTATATGGTTCTATTTATACAAAAGTCTAGAAAATGCAAACTAATGACATAAAGCAAATCAGTGGTCACCTGAGGACAGGAATGGGGACAAAGGAAGGGGGCAAAAAGGATTATTTTTCTGCACTAGGAAACTGAGGGGTGATTTATATGTTCATATTTTTGGTGTGGTGATGTTTACATAGTACTTATATGTATCAAAATTTAGCAAACTGGATGTTAAACATGTGCAGTTTATCATATGCCAATGATGCCTCAGTAAAGTCTTGTTTTTTGACAGAGAAATGACTTAAGAGATGGATTTGAGCTGGACTCTGGAAAATTTTGTCTTGACTTAAAACTCTGGCAGAGCCAGAAAAGGCAGTTCAGTACATAATTGGAAAAGAAACAAATGGGTTTAGAGGAAGGAAACAGAGCATTTTGACTGTAGCAGAAAACCTGTATAGCAGAGCAGGAGGAGAGAGGCCTGTGAAAGAGAGAAAAGGCAGATTATGGGAGGGACTGATCATCAAGCTTTTTAAAAGTGTGCTTCGGATTGTAGTTCCACTTCTTTCTGAATGATACTGGACACGTCACTTAACCTCTCTGAGGTTTAGTTTCCTTTATCTGCAAAATAAGGATGACAAAAATGGGACCTCTCTTAAAAGGTGGCAGTGAAGATCAGACAATGAATGTAAGCCACTTGGCAGAGGACTAAGGGCTCAATACCTGGAAGCCATTATTATAACAATTATTGTTGTTAGCCCTACATAAGCAAACATTTAAAGATGCCTGAGCAAGAGAAAGAAGTGTTTAAAGAGGTTCTTTACAAGAACTAATCTCACCATTATTGATCACTTTCCCTCCAGAATTAATATACCAAATTCTGTCACCACTTCCTCCTCCCTTGCTCTGTGACTTCCTTTCTAGTGAGAATCATTCCCAGGAGGAGCCCCTAACTAGAAGCGAAAGCTCTCTTATGCTAGTCAAAGTATCCTAGCTGTGGGGTCCCCCCCACCCCACCCGACACATACACATTCTCCATCTCTCTGGGATGGAGAATCAGAGTCCTCCAATACTACTTTGAAGGTCAACCATCACTACCCCAGATTTATATCCAGGGTGTGTTCTGAGGAGAATAAAGTAGGCAGGTGATGTTTCTTTTCATTTCAAGGCATAGATATTTCCCCCCAAAATCCAGGGAGGTGTCCAGAGTTCGAGAGTAGCCCTACTTCCACAAGTCCCTTAAGCACTAATCAGGGAGCTTATTCTCTGAAGAATTTATGAGGAAAGACATCTCTCTACCTCAGTTTTGTTATCTATAAAATGGAAGGTAATAAAGGTACTTCGCGAGGTTTTTTTTCTGAGGATTAAATGAGCCAATATGTTCAAAGGGCCTATATGATACTCCCTGGCACGTTGCATGTGCTTCATGTTAGCTACACTTTATTAAGGGCTTTATTTCTTCCACTATTTGTAGTGCTTATTTATGGTTATATATTTCTCAGTCATTAAGCATCAATAGTGAACCTGTAATAGGCTATTTCAGCCCAAGTGTACACCTAGGGTAGAAGTGACTGATGGCTTGTAAATATTCATCCTCCAGGTCAGAGACATCCAGCTTTTCCCCAGACCCAACCACAGGTGGTAGTATATGTTGATTCAATTTATTGAAAAAAATAAATTGCAAACAAGCTTTTAGATTAATTGGTAACTTTATTAATAACTGCAGTGTCTACACACATTTGAAAACACGAGTAGGAGACATGCCATATAGTCAGTCTGTGATAATTTCTAAAGTTCCTTTGGATTCATGAAATCCCTGCAATCAACTCCAGAAGTAAATGATCAGACCTTAGTGTCTTAATCGACAAAATCAAGGTTTGAACAGAAAAACTCAATGTTCTATAACTCCACAAAATAAAACTAAAATGCAATTGTCCTCTCATAGGAGGATACAAAAGTAGTGTTAGCTACATGCTTTCTCTCAGCCTCATCTATAAAAAAGATATTAATTCTATTGTCCCACCTGTCTTGCAGAGTCTTCTGAGAAGCAAATGAGGTAGCAACTATAAATTAAAACCTCATCTCAGTGGGGAATAGAAAATCAGGATTGAGGCAACGCAGGGGTGGGGAGTAGGGGGGTGAAAAGGAGGGCTCTTTGCCACGACCAACATTCTGATTTCAATGAAAATCTGAAAGGTTACGCTAAACTGTGAAGCATAAAGGTAGAACCTATTGCAGCCTCCTCTTTCACAAAGAGAATCTTAACATGCCCCCAAACCCCCAGCTGTTGCACTGTGACTAAGGACAGATTTGGGAAAGGAGCCGCAAAAATATTTCCATTTTCATCCTGTCTTCACATACAGCTAATGGAAAAGAACAGCGCCCATCCACCCACAGAAGCAAGGAAGAAAGGGGTGGGTAGAAAAATGATCTCAATAAATATTAATTCAGTAAGTACTATTTGTCCTCTATGTGCCAGGCATTGGTTTGCACTTAAGGCACAGTGGGAAGTCAGACCCGCAAAGCCTGTCAAGGATAAGGAGAAAGATCATAATTAAGAACAAATAAACCAATTTCAGCTCGTTAGGAGGAAGACAAAACAGCCAGGCAGGAAAGATAGGAGCGAATTCCTGAGTGGATGGCTTAGAAATGTATATTCGAGATGACTTTTGAGCCCAGATCTAAATGACCAGTGCGCTTTGCACTGCCGTGGGAGCGCACGTTCCAAGCACAGAGCATTAAATGTAAAAACGATCCACAAATCCAGAAAGGATTTTAAACACCCAAGGAGGAGTGGTAAGTATTCCGCAGCAGCGGGAAATTTTAAATATTCGTGTCGCCCAATCAGGAAAAGTTGAGGGCCCGGCTGCGCGGGCTCCGCCCTAAGTACACAAAACCCACGGTATACACAGGACACCTCGCAGGGTAGAACTGGCGGCTAGATACACCAGCTGCATACACCAGCTGCGGTCAGGTTACAGTCGTAGCGAGCTGTCAGCGTTCGCTGGAGTCGGGTTTCGGTCCTGGGGTACTCGTAAAACACGACTTTGTTTTAGGTCAATAAAACACCCAACAAAGCCACTAGAACACAACGGTCTGGGGCTTGGAGGAGAAAGGACAGACCCCTAGCATCCCAGTTTCAAGAAAGCTAAGCAGCGAAATAGGAGGAAAAAGCAAGTCCAGTCACACACCCGGAACCTCAAGTTACAAATGTTTAAAAACTACTTGTACCATCTCCTAGGACGTTTAGAACTAAGGGAATACAAGTGAACCAAGCTCTTTTCTGCTGATTAAGTGGGTGGCTCTTAAAAGAGCCTTTGGAGAAGAGCGGCTAGAGAGCGCCAAGTCCGGGCAGGACTCATTTGGAGCTGGTGTACTTGGTGACCGCCTTGGTGCCCTCGGACACGGCGTGCTTGGCCAGCTCCCCGGGCAGCAGCAGGCGCACGGCCGTCTGGATCTCCCGCGACGTGATGGTCGAGCGCTTGTTGTAGTGCGCCAGGCGGGACGCTTCGCCGGCGATGCGCTCGAAGATGTCGTTGACGAACGAGTTCATGATGCCCATGGCCTTGGACGAGATGCCGGTGTCGGGGTGGACCTGCTTCAGCACCTTGTACACGTAGATGGAGTAGCTCTCCTTGCGGCTGCGCTTGCGCTTCTTGCCGTCCTTCTTCTGGGCCTTGGTGACGGCTTTCTTGGAGCCCTTCTTGGGGGCCGGAGCGGACTTGGCGGGTTCAGGCATGGTAAAACACGGAGCCAACAGGGCTCAGCAAAGGAAAGAATTAAGGGGATGGGCGGGCCTGATCCTTTTATAACCACCTTATGCAAATTAGGGCTCAAAAAGTCCTTCCCTTTCATTGGTCCATGTAGGGACCTTGCGTTTTCAGCAAAACCTACGTAACAATCACGACTCTCGATCTTATTGGCCGTTTCTGGAGCCAAATCAGGACCAATGAAAACCTCGCTCCTGACCCCACCCCTAGGAAAGCTTATAAAGGGTTTCTTTTTGGTGCTTTTTCAATCTAGTGGGGAAATCTGACGTTTCTGCTGGTTTAAACGCTCGGTTTAGTCATGTCCGGCCGTGGCAAGCAGGGAGGCAAGGCCCGCGCCAAGGCCAAGTCGCGCTCTTCGCGCGCTGGCCTCCAGTTCCCGGTGGGCCGGGTGCACCGCCTGCTGCGCAAGGGCAACTACGCCGAGCGGGTGGGGGCCGGCGCGCCCGTCTACATGGCGGCGGTGCTCGAGTACCTGACCGCCGAGATCCTGGAGCTGGCTGGCAACGCGGCCCGCGACAACAAGAAGACGCGCATCATCCCCCGCCACCTCCAGCTGGCCATCCGCAACGACGAGGAGCTGAACAAGCTGCTGGGCAAAGTGACCATCGCCCAGGGCGGCGTCCTGCCCAACATCCAGGCCGTGTTGTTACCAAAGAAAACCGAAAGCCACAAAGCCAAAAGCAAATAAACGCTGACAAGCTAAACCAACCAAAGACCAAAGGCTCTTTTTAGAGCCACCCAAGTTTTCAAAAAAAGAGCTAATGCGCTACTTGTGATCAGCCCTTCATTTGACACTTTTGGTGGCTCTTAAAAGAGCCTTTGGGGTGAGGGGATGGTGCCCAGCCTAGTTACTTGTTCTTGCCAGGCTTGTGACTCTCCGTTTTCTTGGGCAACAAGACAGCCTGGATATTGGGCAACACGCCGCCCTGAGCGATGGTGACACCCCCGAGTAACTTGTTGAGCTCTTCGTCATTTCTCACGGCTAGTTGCAAATGGCGAGGGATGATGCGCGTCTTCTTGTTGTCGCGGGCCGCGTTGCCAGCCAGCTCCAGGATCTCGGCGGTCAGGTACTCGAGGACGGCCGCCAGGTACACGGGCGCGCCGGCCCCCACCCGCTCGGCGTAGTTGCCCTTGCGCAGCAGGCGGTGCACCCGGCCCACCGGGAACTGGAGGCCGGCGCGCGAGGAGCGCGACTTGGCCTTGGCTCGAGCTTTGCCTCCCTGCTTGCCACGGCCGGACATGACGGCTAAAAATGCGGTTAGAGCTTCTTTTTCAAGGAGAAGGATGTGGAAAGGATAACCAATTTGATGTAATTTATAAGAGCTACCGGGAGGGGTGAGGGGAAGTCGTTTGATTGGCTACAAACGGAGCCGGCTCAGACAGCCAATAGGGAAGCAGAGAACAGACTTCTGGTTTGCAACAAGGAAATGACGGATTTTTTAAGTACCTACCAATCGCTGAGAGCCACATTAAGTCCCCTTATTTGCATACCAGGATTTTTAAAGAGGAGGGTTTCAAACAAAAACCATTCTCTATTTTAGAGTGGCAATTTGTCGCATTGTTTTGGTTTCTGTTTAGGGTAGGGAAATCCCCAAAAGGAACCTAAATAATTCAGAAGCCCTCAAGTAGACGGATAATTACTCCTGTATGGGATTCCGCAGCCAGTTATCCCCTTGAGCCCTAAAGTAACCCTCCACCTCTCACCCTTTCTGTCTCGTCACAGCCAGGCTCCTTTAAAGAATTAACTGCTGGGGCTGCGTCCTTTCTTTGCCCTCAGTTTGGTGGGTGGCTTCGCCCCACCCCCACATCCCTGCGCAGTCTTGGAATTGAGCTTGACCGAGGGCTAGAATATATGTTATCCTTCTCTAGACCTCCAGGAGGCGTCCGGTAACACTTTGAAACTCGGTGGCTTGGTTCTCAAAATGTCGCCGTTCGTTTTTCTTACCTGACTTTTCTTATCCTGTTTCTATTCCTCTGCCCACTCCTAAGTCTGCAAATGACTGTCTCCCTACCCACAGATCTTCATTCTTCCTGAGGTGTCAAGCCCACTTTCTGTGCTTTCAATGAATATCCACATTTGTTTCGGGAGCTCAGACCCTCTTATCTAACTGCTTACCAGATAATTCAACATGATTGTCCTTAAACATCAGAACAGGAACTCATGCAAAGAACGCTCGCCCTTTTTGTCCTCTTTCCCTGAATTGCACCAACGAAATTCCAGGTACTGAGACAGAAAGACCACCCATAGACAACTAGGGGAAAAGTCTCTCTTCTTTCTAGAGAAGAGATAAGAGAGGATAGGGAAATCAAGCTTCCGACCCCAGCTATTTTAAGCCACAAAAATAGTTCCTTAAATACCCCCTAGCAACGACCAACCGCAAAATGTTCTCTAAAGCACTGCCTCTTGCGCCAACAGACCCTCAACCCCCACCCTTATGCTAATAGAGGCTTAGAAATTACTCTCTCCTGATTTGCTGAAGAAGACAAAATAGAGAGAGTTGATTGGCCTCTTTCTGAATCTTTTTACCTGTTATCCCATCGATCACCTATAGGGACAGATCATCCCATAAAAACCGCCAGACAGAACAGTGGTACTTTGTCTTGGGACCCTTCCCGTGCTGCAGGTGCATTTTTTCTGCTTTAAATAAAATTTGCTAGTCTACTCTGTTTGTGGATCTCTTGACAGCTTGCTCCCTGTTACAGGACCTAAGCCGGCATTTGCTCTTCCCTTTGTCGCAACAGCATATCCAGCCAGTTCCTTGTCTATCTCTCCTCACTCCCTTAGATTTTAGAGCCAGCTCCTGAAGAGTGACTTTACCTGCTGGTTCTAATGACTTGGGTGATTCTCCACCCACCTTTCCTAGAAACCTTTCCGCAAAGTTTTTCTGTTTCTTCTTTCCCAAAGACGTTCTACCTCCCTCACACCATTTTCATTCTTTCCTTAGTGACTCACAAGAGAAAAGAACTGATTTAAATTCTTTTCTTTGAGCTCTTTTCTAATGCTCTCCTTTATCCACATCTTTATTCAATCAGCACTTATTGAGTGTGTTATTGGACTGTGGGTATGCAGATAATTGAGAGTAGTAAGTCTGTGATGAAATGCTTCTAGAAAAATGGAGGCAGGCTGGTGAACTCTGGGAGTTAAATTAGTTAATATCAGCAATCTGTAGTGATAACTCCGGGTAAGAATGCTCTTATAGATTTGCAGAACGCTCAAATCCAATCAAAAGTGATGGGAGTGTTTCCTCAATTGTGGAATGTAACCAAAGATAATTCTGACCTAACCAGATGTTAGACTTAATGAAGTAACTTAACTTATCCAGCCTTGCTTTCATATACTTAATAGTTTAGATTCCATACAAAACCCTTCTAGATAAGTCCAGATAGGCCAATATCTTACAAATTATTCCAGACTCATTTACTTTCTATTGCTCCCAAGAGCTCCTTTCCCAGTTTTCTTACCAGAGCTATCATAAAAGAAAATAGAGCAGGCAATTTGTAAAAGTATACACCATTACAAATAGGCTGGATCTTATTTCCTTTAACACCTCTGGGATTGTTCACCAAAGGCAACTGACTTCCTTCTCAGTTTAGTTAAGCAAGCATTTATTTTGTATTCTAGAGCCATTCCACCATTCCAGCCATTGACCCCTCTCCCTCCCCTTTAGCTCCACCTCTCTCACCACCACCCGACCCCTGTGTTGCACTGTGCACCATTCATTGGGTGAGCATGGCCTCTCTGAAACTCCATGAGGTTGCACATACAGGTGCCCCTGACAGATACGCTTCCTCCTCTCTTTCTCTCCCTCTCTCCCTCACTTCTCCTTCCCCACCTCCTTCTTTCCTCCCCCCCACCACCTTTCTCTCCTTCTTTTTGTGGTACTGGGATTGAAGCCTGGGGTGCTTTTCCACTGAACTGAACTTCACGCCCAGCCCTTTTTATTGTTTTTTGTTTTGTTTTGTTTTGTTTTGTTTTGTTTTGTTTTGTTTTGAGACAGGGTCTAGCTAAGATGCTGAGGTTGTCTCTAACTTGCAATCCTTATGCCTCACCCTCCCAAGTTGCTGGGTTTACAGGTGTGTGCCTGCCTGGCTCCATCTTCTCTTGACAAGGCAAAATTCTTCAACCTTTCAGTTTCAGTCCAGATACCACTTCTATCATGAGGGCTTCCCTACTCCCATATAAACAGCCTTGGTGTGTCTACATTGCTTTGTTTACATCCTGGTGATGGCAGTTTTCATTCTATACTGTATTTTCATGTTGGTCTCACCTCCCTTCTGTGGCCACTAGTCAACAATTTCCAAGTGCCAACCATAAATAGTAGACTGTGATAGAATGATAGAAGATATAAAAGGAGTTCATCCACTAAAAAAAGAAAAGAAAGAAAACACACACACGTAAATGAGACTAATGTAAAGAATTCATACAGAGCCGGAACCCCAGAGGCCCCAAAGCTGGAAGAGGAGGCTGTGATGGTGAACTTGACTGGCCAAGAGATTATTTCTAGACATGGCTGTGAGGGGGTTTCTGAGAGAGGTTAGCATTTGAATTGGTGGACAATGAAGAGGATCACCCTCACCTACTCAGGTGGGCTACATCCAGTCCAGTAAGGACCTCAAACAAAAGACCAAAAGACAAAGGAAGGACAAATTTGCTTCCTGCCTCAGGGAGAACATCCATCTGCTCCTGCCCTTGGACTTCAGTGCTCCTCATTCTCTGGTCTTCAGAGTCAGACTGGGATTCTCAACATCAGTCCTGGGTTCTTAGGCCTCTGGACTTGGACTGGATCTTAGCCCATTGGCTCCCCTGGTTCTCAGACCTTCGGGTCTGGTCTAGAACTCCACCATTGGCTTTCCTGATTCTCTAGCTACAGATAGCAGACGGGAGATTTCTCAGCCCATAATCGTGTGAGCCAATCCTTTACCATAAGTCTCTTTTACTGTGTCTCACAGGAAGAATAGCCCAAATAGCTTGATTCTCGGGGTTGTTGACCAGATCTGCGACTATGGGCAAGAGACCTAACCACTAAGCTGCTCTGCTTCCTGGCTGCTTTGTACTTTGTGGGACTGTGGTAAGAATTAAAAGAGTTCATAAATATAAAACATTTAGAACAGCATCTGGTACCAAAAAGGTAGGAACATCCCAAAAACTCTTTGAGTGAGTTTGTCATTTTAGAAATAAATATGTTGGGGAGCTGGAGTCCTAGCTCATTGCTATAGCGTGTGTACTTAGCATTCCTGAGGCCCTGGGTTCAATTCCCAACACCATAAGAAATAAGTAAACATTGGTTTATCCTATGACCCAGCAATTTCACTCCTGAATATATATGAAAAAAACAAAAAAGAAATGATTGTTTATGTCCAACAAAAAACATGTACAGGAAGATAATTTGTTCATATATTTCAATACTGTATAATAATGAAAATGAACAATTTACAAATTACTGCCCCGCACATGGATGAATCTCACAAACATAATGTTGAGTAGAAGAAAATAAACACGAGAGAATCCATATTTATATGAAGTTCACAAAGGAGCAAAACGCATCTAGGGTGATAAAGACTAGAATAAGAGTTACCTGTGGCAGGACAGTATGGGCTTCCCTGGGAGCCATCTGAGGTACTAGAATTCTCTATATCTTGATATGGGTGCATCACATGTAAAATTAAGCTGTACATTTAAGATTTTAAATTTCTTATATTTAAATCAAACCTCAATAAGCATAAAGTACTTTTTTTAAGTGAACAAGTATCGAAGTAATCATCACAGGGAAAACCAATGAGGTTGGTTGTGCCGATCCTCATGTTACAGACTGGTGTTTGTTGTTTGCTTTGTTTTGTTAGTTACACATAAAATGGCCACCGTGACTCTCAGTACTTAAAGCCTTTACGGCCAAGACAGACTTTCTGCAAATAGTAGATATTATTTGAAACACAGACAATCAACTTGCCCGTGGAGCTTGCATTTGCTAATTTTTCATTTATTTTTACAAAGAGAATAATGATGTCGGCCCTTTCCATTAATACACTGATTCATTTATCCATCCAATTTTGGAGGTTGGTTTGTTGAGATAGGGCTTCACTAAAACGCTCAACTTGACGTCCAATTTGCAATCCTTCTGCCTCAACCTTCCAAGTAGTCATATGCACGTACCATGGCACCTGGCATATTCTACCTTATTTATTTATTTATTTATTTATTTATTTTTAAAGAGAGAGAGAATTTTTTAATATTTACTTTTTAGTTTCCGGCGGACACGACATCTTTGTTTGTATGTGGTGCTGAGGATCGAACCCGGGC